TAGGACAGTGTTGGAGTGGCTGTGCTGCAGAGGGGAAGACTGGGAGTCATTGCGAGGCTAGAAGGAAGACTCCAAGTGAGTCCTGGGTCACAGGGCCACTGGGGGGTGGGTTGTCCACAGGCTGGGACCACTGCCAGCAGAATGCCCAGGGTGTCTTGGTCAGTAGGAGAAGGAGTGTCTGTATCTTAGCTCTCAAAGTGTGAGGGAAGGAATTTCTTTCATAAGGATCAGGAGAATAAGAGGAAGCTGAGCAGGCCTAGGCTGCCGCTGAGCAAGGCTCACTAGTGGGTCTACCAGCCATGGGGCATTCAGTACAAGAGGCTAGATTGGGCCCCCTCCCACAGCTGACCCACTGTGTGTGGACAACCGTCTGCTGTGGCCCTACACACTTTACAGTAGCCTAACAGAGTCTTGGCCTTTTGTGAGTGGAAGGGAAACTCTGCACCCTGACTGAGTCAGGACTGGGCAGAATGGACTGGAAATTCCCTCTAGCCAGGACAGCAGCGGGACACCATCCTGCCTCTGCTACACAAGCGCTCTCTGGCATCCCCCGTGCTTTACATTCTGTTTTCAGCTTCTAAGAATCCCTTGGTTTCTGATTGTCCATAAATTGTCTCCTGCTTGACTCACAGCTTCAGGGTTTATGGTGGCCTGTTTTTTATAAACCTACCTCGCTCTTACACACAATTTACCTTGACCTCCGCTATTTGCCTCTGCCTTGATTCAAAGTGTTGGCATTTCCTCTTCTCCATGACAAATACCTGGTTCTTCCAATCATGTTTTATTTTCCTCAGGCTCACTTTCTTACTCTTTATTCACATTGACTGCCGTTTACATTCATTGTGTAAAAATATTTAAAACCATCATGAAAAGTTCAGTCTTCATGTAGTGAAATGTCACCAAGGATGAAGACAAGCGTCGTATCAGGATTTCATGCGTGACCAAGTTCTCAGCACTATGTCCGCTCTCTTATCATCATGGGAGGCTATGGGATAATGTGATGGTGCATACTCCACAATAGTGGGCCTCATTATTATTTTTTCATACTATCGAAGCACAATCTATTAGAATGGGAAAAGACCCTGGAGATAATAAGACACAGCCCTGCCAGGGGTAAATTGTGGACCAGAAAGATATAAGGCTTTGCCCCAAATCATAGGGTTAATCAGTAAGGATGCTGAGGTCAAAACCTGGGTCTCCAGTTTTCAGGTCGAATAGTCGTTCCAGGATGTGGAAAGGTGATTCGACATACATAAGTGAGTAGAATTGAATTCTTTTTTTAAGTCAAAGCTTCAGAGAGTGAAGCTCAAGAAGAATTTGTTTCACTCATTCATTCCGTGTCTATCTATTGAATGTCCACTAGATGCAGGCACTGTTCTGGGCAAACGAGGTGAAGTTGTGAGCAAGCAGATGCCAATCCTATGAACCTTAGACATTTAGCAAATATCTATGCAAGTAAATTATCCCATATCTCATTGATTTTCAAATGCAACTACTTTTTTTTTTTTTTAAGGCGGAGTCTCTCTCTGTTGTCACCAGGCTGGAGGGCCGTGGTGCACTCACGGCTCACCGCAACCTCTGTCTTCCAGGTTCAAGCAATTCTCCTGCCTCAGCCTCCAGAGAAGCTGGGACTATGGGCACATGCCACCACACCCAGCTAATTTTGTTGTTGTTGTTGTTGTATTTTAGTAGAGATGGGGTTTCACCATGTTGGCCAGGATGATCACAAACGCCTGACCTTAGGTGACCCACCCGCCTCAGCCTCCCAAAGTGCTAGGATTACAGACATGAGCCACCACACCCAGCCAAATGCAACTACTTTTTAAACATCTCAGCACATTCAAATCTGAGACAGGTTGTACCATCAATATGCCTGATGATGAAGTTGGCCTGGAAGAGAGTCAAGTTCTTCCAGACTGTATTTACATTTGCTTCTTCATCCAGGCCACTCTCAACATGGGACTCCTTTTAAACTGTATTCTCTGCTTGCGGTTTTCTGGACCACACTTGTAGTTGGACTTTAGTCCAAAAACCTGCAAGATGATCACCTCCTGATTCTCCTCTGAACAGGAGAGACTTCTCTTTCTCCTTCCATCTGCGGCCAAGGTTGAAACTGGCAAGTTTCCTGGATGTCCCTTTCTACACGCTGGGTTCATTTCTCATGTGCCCTTACATCAGTAAGCCAGCTTTGTGTGGAAAGCCTCATGCTAAATTCTTCACCTTGAGCTTCTCTTCATGATCTTTCTCAGAGGTATGTACAGTAATGGTGCATTTTATAATTAGCAGCATCGCAGGTTCTACAAAATATCATAATTATAAATTGTGATAGGAATTGTGAACGAACAGTACAAAATGGTACAAGGAAGCATAATAGGTGACCTAATTTAGGTCAAAAGCCTCTATGAATAAGTGACAGGTAAACTGAGTCCTGAAGACTGAGACAAATGGCCCAGGAGCTAAGCATCTCAGACAGGGTGAATAATCTGTGTAAAACCCACTTATGTAAAAAAAAAAAAAAAAAGAAGGCATTGCTTTTAAATCCTTTCAGCGTGATGATCTCCAAAGTGTTAATATCCAAAAAGAGAAGAATGTCTTTTCAATGAATAGAGTTTCCTTGAAACTGAAATAGAAATATGATGGATTCTGATTTCTATACTACTTTCTTTAAAATTGTATTTATAAAAGCAAATCGAGTTATGCTCTGTAATTATAATTATCACCCACAATTTCCTTCATCTAAAGTTGATTATATTCTCTGTTGCTGTGCTAAAGGCACAGGGAATTGACATGTGGAACAGTAACAGGATAAATTGTCAACATCACATATGCCTTTTGCATGGGGGAGATATGAAAACCATTCCCTGTCACTGCTTTTCGAGAACAGCCTCATCTCCAGGGGCTGAGCATTCCAGACAGGGGGAACAGCCCATGGCACTGGAGAATAAGGTACAATTTTTAAGACGTTCACGAAAGAAGGCTTCCCAGCTGGAATATGGGGAACACCATTTCTCTGAGCCAATCCTCTTTCAATCAGTGCGAAAGCCCATGCCCACTGCAGCAGTCCTCGAATGGTGCTTCCTGAGACTTCAAAAAAGTGATGGTAACAAAAGCACAATTACTGATACTGTGAAATATACATAGTCATGGGCCACATAACAAAGTTTCCGTCAAAGATGAACCATACATATGACAATGGTCCTATAAGATTATATTATCATATTTTTAATTGGCCTTTTCTATGTTTAGACATGTTTGGATACACAAATACTCACCGTTGTATTACAATTTCCTGTAGTATTCAGTACAGTACCATGCCGTGCAGGTTTACAGCCTAGGAACAATAGGCTGTACCATGTAGCCTAGGTGTGTAGGAGGCTGTACCATCTAGATCTGTCTAAGTACAGGCTCTGATGTTCACACAACTGTAAAATTGCCTAATAATGCATTTCTCATACCATATCCCTCATCACTAAACAAGGCATGACTGTATCTTCCTTCCTGACACGTAGTGCCTAAAATTCTTAGACTCTCCAGAGTGATAAGAGTATACTTTAATGAGATGGCTGGTGACCTTCCTAAACTGCTTCAGGAAAGGGGCTGGTTACCAGAAAGACCAAGACATGATTACAGAGTTGGGACTTTCAGTTCTACCCCCCAATCCCCAGCAAGGTGAGAGAGAAGAGAAATGGAAGCTTGAGTTGATCACCAATGGTCAAGTGATGTCATCAATCATGACTATGCAATGAAGCCTCCATAAAAACCTGCAAAAGGACAGGGTTTGACAGAGCTTCCAGAAAGCTAAACACGTGGTGATTCCTGCAGAGTAGATCACCCAGAGAGGACAGGGCAGCTCCATGCCCTTTTCCACAAACCTTGCACTATGCATCTCTTCCATCTGGCTGTTCAGCTGTATCCTTTGTAATGTCCTTTATAATAACCCTGTAAACATAAGTAAAGCGTTTCCCTGAGTTTTGTGAGCTGCTTCAACAAATTAATCCAACTCCAGGAGGTGGTTGTGGGAAGCCCAATTTATAGCCAATCAGTAGAGGAGCAGGCCACAAACTAGGTTTTATGACTGGCATCTGAAGTGGGGGGCAGTCTTGCAGGGCTGAGCCCCCAACCTGTGGGATCTGATGCTGTCTCCAGGTAGATAGTGCCAGAATTAAGTTGAATTAGAGGACAACCACATGGTATCCACTGAAGAACTGGCTGCAGAATTGACTGCTTGGTGTGTGGGGAGGAAAAACTATCCGTCTGGTCACAGAAGCATTGTGTTCTATTTTGAATGGAGAAGAAAGGGCAGGAAAACACACCTTGGTTTTTTCTTACGACCTCCTTATGTCTTTTTCTCATGCACGGATCTACAGCAAATAGCACCCAGGGATTTCTCTGCGATTAATGGACCATCTTAAAACTTTGAAAATCCCAGTTTGTTATAAATTTACTGAACAATCAGTACACTTTGACTTGTATTTTCAGAGCTCTGCTATAAAAGAGTTTCTTAATAAAAGGAAATGGTAAATAGTCTGTCAACTTACTGCATTGTAGAAATGCCCAGTTACACTCCCTCACCCCAATACCATACACACAGGAAGAATTCATCTGTCCTGTATCTCCAACCGGAGTGTCCAAATTCCTCTGCCTCCCTGTAATTACAATGTCGGATGAGAAAAGATTCTTGTGCCATCACCTAAGCATTGGCATATGTTCAATGTTCTCCCATCTTGAAAGCAGAAAGCAAGCCAACCCACCTGCGAGCCAGCCCACCTGCGAGCCAGCCCACCTGCGAGCCAGCCCACCTCCGTGGACTTTGGCTTTCCTTCCAGCCCAAGCCCCCTTCTTTCTTGCACACAGACAGCTTCTGAAAGGACCTATTATGGGCACCCACACTCTTCGTTTTCATCCTGCCAGTATGTCATATGGACATTTTGTTTATCATAGACTTTTTTTTAACATTAATTTTGACTTTTAAAAAACACTGCCTTAAAATATGAACCTTGATCCTTTTGTGGTTTATAAGCATGATGATTGGGTTTTCATGCCCATGTGTGTGATGCGTCTCCCTCAAATCTTTTTATGAAGTAGGGGCATTATCTGTCTGACATGAAAAAATTAAAAAAGTGTTTATCTTGATTACTTCATTTTGGCACTCCCCCTTCCCTTATGTTTAGCCCCCAGGGTCTTGCCTCACCCTAGCCTTAACCAATTCCATCTGCTCCTCAACCCACTATAGTCTGGTTCTGCTTTCAACGCAATTGAAACTAATCTTGAAAGACTCAATAAAAATTCTTCCGTGACATTTGTTTTAAAGGACAATTTTTTAGCCCCTGTATTCCAAGCCATTCCTTTAAGCACTTCAAACACATCAAACCACAAAACATACACAAATACAATGATTATGAAAAATGTTCCTAATACCATGTCTTTCCCTGAAATGTCAACATCTTGTTTCCTTCCCCATTTCTTTATTTTTTATACTACGCCTATACTACCTAAGATTACAGCCATACTTAATTAAAAATCTCAAGGTCATAGCATTCTTATCCAGACCAAAAAGAAATGGAATATCCACTTAGACAGCCAAGGTTGTAGGATCTGGTCGAACCATTGATTCTTGGTTAGGGCATGAGGTCAGATTGTTTCTCTGAAGACTATCTAAATCCAAACCGTGGACATCAGGCTGAAACTTTCTTCTTAAGTTAATCTTGACTTTTCAAATCAATTTAAAAAAAATAAGTCTACATTTTCCCCACGGGTTTTAGTTTTCAGCAGCCTGGAGTTTCCCTATCAGACAGTGGCATCTGTCTTGGCCCTCATTGTCCCATCATTGTGATAACTGGGCCTGGTTTATTGGTGTTATTTAAAATGTATGGCTGCCTCACGCGTCTCATCCTGAGTGGGACCATCCATAGGTTTCACCTCTCAGGACAGGTAGAACTGGGGTAGCACAACGAACTCTCCCTTTTAAGGTATGTGTCGATTCATCATCTTGGAACACAGTTTCGATTCTTTTTCTAGTTATTGTGTGTGACCACTGGTGCTTGAAAGGCCCTCCTGTTCTTGGTAGTGTTTCTGTATATTTTCCCTGGGTGATTTGGCTAACTCTGTTTCCTGCACTGACTCTTCTCTAGCTGTACAGCTTGACATGAGTTTTATATTTTAAAACCAAACAGAGTTAATAGATGAAATAAAAAACTATATTAACTTCCTCATTAAAATTAGCAAAAAATTAAACACATCCCATGATAGCCAAATTTCTATGTTCATCCTAATTACCTTTAATATATATTAACTTTTCTCTGAATGTCTTTATAAAATTTTGGCCTTTCACAAACTCATCATATTTCAGTTAACTGCAATTATTATATCTTTTTTGATGCTCAAATTATAACTTGGCCAGCAGGAGACCTTGAAGCTGGCTCCTTCATCCTTTCAGCACTGTCTCTGGCATTTTTGAAACTATCTCTGCTTTCTGGAGACAGTAGGGTATTCTGGGTTCATGCTACTGTGTGTGTATGTGTGATCCAGGAGTGCTAACCCAAATCTGGACATTTAGGAGTTCACATGAGTATAAGCAGTGACCAACATGCTATTGAAATGGGAGAGTTCCCTGGCCCCCTTGCAGGGTGTGTGACAGGGTAGGGCTTGTGTGTTCAGTCACAGCTCAAACTCCTTATGGGAGGGGGAGCATGCAGATGGGTGGGTGCAGGAGCTGGGTGAGTGCTTTTGGGTTTTGCCCCCATAGTAGCATCCAAGGGTGGGTGCCTGTGACTCCCAAAGCCCCAGTAGATGTGTTACAGTGCTCTTTCGTCTCTGCCATCCACAGATGGCTTAAGTGTTAACCAGCTAACTGCCCTCTTGGTACCCAAGTCCTTGTCCGGCGTCCGGGAAGAATCAGGTCACATGGACAAATGGGGGTGGCTCTCAGCAGGATGGATGGGGAGCTGGAGACAAGATGGAGTGGAAAGAATGTTTTCCCCTGGAGTTCAGCCATCCGGCAGCCCATCTCCCCTCCACCCGTCCCCAGCTGAGCTCTCGACGTTCAGACACTCCTTCTCTTCCCTCCTTCTTTGCCATGTAGCTCTTCTGTTCCTCTGCTCTTCTGCTCATGGAGCCTGGAGTTTGGAATTTATATGGGTACAGGATAGGGGGGCATGACAGGCTAAAAGGCAACATTTGGGCATGGAAACAGGTATACCTGTTCTCATTTAGGGCCATGGGCTTCCAGGCTTGAGGGTGGGGCCTTTGCTAGGGAACTGCCCTCTTCCTCCCAGTATTTAATTTCCTTGCCTCCTGTCCATATAATAGGCAGTGACCAAAATGCGACTGCTGTTGGAACGCTTATCTAGGAAAAAATATTGCTTTTTAATGGTGTGAGTTCACATTGGTTTTTCCCCTAATATTATTAACATAATTAAATTGCTGTACCTGACTCTTCTTAGAGGATGAGGTTTTTATCGACCTCTAAGACTTTCTAATATATTAGTACGACAAATGACCTCAGCTTGAACCTTATCTATTTCGCAGTTCCAGTCCTGATATTAATCTGCCTTTGTGCTTGGCTTCTCATCACACTGACGGTCGAAGACTCCGTACTTGGTCTCTGTTCCAGCATCTCATTGTGGCCCTGATCACACCGATTTCCAAGTTCAACCCCCACCCCAGATGACTTCTTGGCCCCTGGGAAATGCACGTATAAGAGTTTTTGCCCCTGAGGAGTAATTGTTTTGGATAGTAGCATGCTAATCTTCTATTACAAGGAGGGCCTGGCTTCACTTCTTGTGAAAAGAGAGACTTTTTTCTGTTTTACGATTCAGCTTTGAAGAACCTGGTATTTCCTTTTGTTCATATTTCTTCCACCATCATTTCCATATCTGTCTCTACAATTTTCTTTCAACACATTTAAATACGGGAATACAGAGCAAGAAAGGTGCGGCCTCTGCACATTCTCTTCAATATGAACAATGAAAGGACAGAAGCACTGATTTTTCTCCATCTCAACTTGGTATATTTCGTTCTAGAAATCTTGGTTTTCTTACATTTTTTAAGTGTATCCTCCTTGACTGACAACTTCAGAGTTGCTAATCCATTTGTTCAAGGGAACTGGAACTCCACAACGGTTCCACTGGCCACAGATAAGTTTCGCGTCCATACACGGGACGGGGGAAATTGGGGGTGGCCACCACCTTGGGAGTTGTGTCATAGATACCCTTGCTACCTTTATACGTAGGAGTCTGGACAAGGACATGGGAGATTTACCTACAGAGAAAAGACCTAACAAGCAGTGGGCACAGGGGCACATATCTATCCTCTTATTCCACGTAAGCTTATCAGGGCGGATTTTGGTTTTTACGGCGGCACACGTTTCATTTATGCCTTTGAGCTGAGGCAGAGTATACGAGAGATTTGTTGAAGGCTGCCCATTGGCCTAGGTAAAAATGCAGTATAAAATGTGTATCCATTTCTTAATACTAAGGAAAATTTTTATAAATTGTAATTCTAATACATATATATATATTTAATGATAACTCAATGTATGTGAATATAAAACTTGCCATTTATGAGCCAGGCTATACGCTAGGCACCTAACATTGAATAATTCTTCACTCCTCACATCAGCATGCTGAGGTGAGTTTTATTATTACCATTTTAAAGATGGGTAAACAGAGGCTTAGTGAGGTTATATAAATGATTTGTGTTCTTAACCTGGTAGGTGGTGAGTTGTGATTGAAATCCAGGTATTTTGATTCTAACTCCAGAATTCATTGTCCTAAATATGTGTCTGCAGGCATAACAAAAACTGGATCCTACCTACATATAATTCAAAATCCTCCTCTTGTCACTTATTTTACTAAGAGCATTTCCCTCATAAAGTTTTAGAAAAGACTTTTTTAATGACTGTATACTGTCTTTTCTTGAAAAAGTAATTTTGCCAGTCCCCTACTAATGAACATATGTTTTTCAAATTTTTCAGTATTATAAATAATTATTCAATAAGTATTTTAAAAACAAGCAAGGCATTATACCTATTTTTGCTCATGTGTTTGATTATTTTCTTAGATTAGATTCATTGGAGGGAAATTACTGAGTCAACGGAAATGATAATTTGAGTACTTACATTACCCGAAAGGGGTCCTGATCCAGACCCTGAGAGAGGGTTCTTGGATCTCATGCAAGAAAGAATTCAAGGTGAGTCCATAAAGTGAAAGCAAGTTTACTGAGAAAGTAAAGGAATGAAAGAATGGCTACTCCATAGACAGAGCAGCCCCTGGCTCTAGTTGCCCATTTTTATGGTTATTTTTTCATGCTACGCTAAAAAGGGTTGGATTAGTCACACCTCCCTTTTTTGGACCAAACAGGGTAACATACTGATGTTGCTATGGCATTTGTAAAGTGTCGTGGTGCTGGTGGCAGTGTGGCAGTGAGGGTGACCAGAGGTCACTTTCGTCACCATCTTGGTTTGAGTGGGCTTTGGCCAGCTTCTTTACTGCAACCTGTTTTATCAGCAAGGTCTTTATGACTTGTATGTTGTGCTGACCTCCTGTCTCATCCTGTGACTAAGAATGGCTTAATTTACTGGGAATGCAGCCCAGCAGGTCTCAGCATTATTTTACCAAGCCCTTATTGAAGATGGAGTTGCTCTGGTTCAAATGCCTCTGAAGTGTATATAGAAAGTACCAAGTAAATTTTCACAAAGTTTGTGCAGACTTGTACTTCTGTCCGCAATTTATTTTAGGAGGTCTTTTCAAACTTCCACCAGCACAGAAGATTTTCTTTAAAAAATGTTTTACTGTTTTAATTAGTGAATAAAATGTATCTTGTAACTGTTTTAATTAGATTTGATTAGTTTTGAGTGTGAATATTTTTGCCTGATTATTATATTTTGTATTTAAGTTTTCTGTGAGGATACTCTGCCCATGTCTTTTGGAGTATTTTGTTAATTGATTTGTAGGAGTGCTTCATGCTCTGAGTATGGACATACTTCTTTCAATATTATCTTTCTGCTCTGTTATTACAACTACTTCTTCTAATCTGTAATTTGGTTGTTATGAACATCTTCCTTGATGTAAAGAACTTTCAATTATGTAACAGTAAGATCGATCT